TATCAATTCCTGAAGGCTTGTTTTTGCCAGTGCCTTCAGCAGCTAGGACGTCTTCCTTCATTACATCAGCTCTTGATCATATGCTACCTTCTGAAATGGTTGAACGTCAAGCAATTGTTTTTAGTACAGTGACTCTGTATTCCTTCCATCTTCTTTTGGTGCTTTCTCTGTCATTCAATTTGTTGCCCATAGAATCTTTCAATATTGCAAATCAATGCTTGAAGTTTTTCTTCAGTTGTCTCAGCTTGAAATACCGAGAGTGTTCTTCCCTTTTGGTTTTCTAACTCAAGGTCTTTGCACAGTTCATTATGGTACTTTATTTTATCCTCTTCAGTCTCCCTCTGAAGTCTTCTGTTCACCTCTTTTACTTCATCATTTCTTCCATCACTTCAGCTACTCTAAATTCAACAGCAAGTATCAGAGTCTATTCCGACATCCACTTTGGTCTTTTTCTTTCTTTCCTGTCTTTTTAATGGCCTTTTGGTTTCTTCATGTATGATGTCCTTGATGTCATCCAACAACTCATCTAGTCTTTGATTGTTAGTGTTTTGTGTCTAATCTATTCTTAAGGTGATCTCTAAACTCAAGCAGGATGTATTCAAGGTTGTACTTTACCTTTCATGGACTTTTTTTATTTTCTTCAGCTTGATCTTGAACTTGCTTAGGAGCAATTGATGGTGTTTTCTGCTGTTGGCCCCTGGCCTTGCTCTGACTGCTGATATTGAGCTGCTCCATCGTCTCTTTCCACAAATGTAGTCAATTTGATTCCCATGTATTCTATCCAGTGAGGCTCATGAGGAGGAGTAGAGGGTGATATAACTATGTTGCATGGATTCAAAGACTATTGTCCTTGTTCATAGGTGATTTCTCACTATCAGTGTAAAGAGCAGCGTGATGCCCACAGATTTGAGAAAATCAGCAACATTATCAAACAGTTCAAACTGAGCTGCAGGTAAGAGATCTTGTAACTGTGATCTAAATATTTCTGGACAAAAATTGTTTCTGAGAGGTTCAAATAACTATAGTTGACTGCCCTTCTATACTCAGAATAATTCCTTCAAACAAAAAGAAAGCTAAATTTTAAGGACGCCTACAGTTGACTGATATGCAAGTCCTTTCCCTTTAATGCTAAATCAACTGTTACAGAAGTGTTTGAAAAGTACCCAAGCAGAGTAGCTTCTCAAGATGTTTTATACTATTTGGAGGGAAGGAAGCAGTGTTCAAAAAGAAGATAATTTGTCCTACCAAATAACAAAATTTAGTTCAGAATTACAGAAAATAAAATACTGAGTTAGTGATTCACAAATAGATAGCAAGATCTGTAGTACACAATAGAAAGTCTAGAAATAATCTAATTATGTTGTCTCAGCTTTTGTTAAATAAAATTTGAAGCATAACATTACAAATATAGGAAGAGGAAATGACTGAGCATGATAATTTAGTAAAGGTTTAATAATTAAAATTCTTATACCAGTAAAGCTTTGATGCCCAGACAATAGGTGTATGTTTAGTCCCTTTATGCCTTAGCATGCTTTGAGACTTTCTAGCATGTTTGTGATAACATTTTCAAGAAGAAATAACAAATGATAAG